AACACGGACTACAATACACCACGTTTTCCAACGAGGGCGATAAACGAATTGGAGGGAGATAGAATATGACCAGGAAAGTCGTGGAAATTCCACGTTCACTTCAGTAAATGGAGGTCCTAGAAAATGGCGGCACTTTATATTTAAACCAGGGGCCTCCTGATGTGCAGGCAGTTTGAAGGACACCGTTTGGTTTTAAATTCACTTATTTAATTACTGTAACCCTTTGCCAATTTGCCAGAGGACATATGATTTTCTTCTAGTTTGTATACATAAATCTGAGGAAATCGGGGGTCAGTTCGAGGCTCTGTTTTTTTTAGTAATCCTTATCTGCTTCAAATTTAAATTTTCTTAGTATTGCAAAATTTGACCACAAATTGTATTTAGTGAATACTTTGAGTTTCTGTTTCAGAATTTCAGGTCAAGTTAGTTTTCTAGAATTTCGAATTTTGGTGGCATTTTGGACCTTAAAGGATTTTTTACTAAAGTGAATTTTAAATTTTACGTCAGTAAGGAAGTCCGCTGCGTTTTCAGTGGGCTACTTTGGCCTTGAATTAGGAATTCACTTTGAATTCTCACTGAATAACCTTGTTTATTGACTAACCCTGTATACTCTCTGTATACCCTGCGAAGCCCTGAGTCAGAGCCAGCGCTGCACTTTGAAAGGCTGAGCGTTTTGTTTGGATGAGATAAGATTTCCACACTGAATGGCTGTGTGTTTGTAACCAAGGTGCAGGATTCTGCGTGGGAAGGAGGGGCCTTCTAATCGCCTGTAAATTAGTTACATAGGCTGAAAAGAGACTTGCGTCCATCAAGTTCAGCCTGTTTCACATCTGTTTAGCTGTTGATCCAAAAGAAGGCAAAAAACCCAGTTTGAAACACTTTCAATTTTGCAAAAAACTAATTAGTTCTTGACCCCAGAATGGCAGTCAGATCTCTGCTTGGATCAAGAAACGATTACCCACTAATTAAAAAGATATCCCTGAATATTATGTTTTTGCAAGTATTTATCCAATTGCTCTTAGCTTGAATACAGACGTATCATTGCAGTTAACTGCGATCTATCTTATTTGTGATTAGATATATATTTTTTTAATTCAGCTATAATTTTATATTTTAATTTATAAATATATCTTATTGCCAGAAATTAGTGGGAGTTACATTACAGAGTGGCAGCTTGTCTCTGAGCTAAATCAATGTCAGCAACTGACATAGCTGCTGTGTGGGAATCTAACTCTCAGTAATCTCAGGGAAAACTGCATGTTCTAGTATAGCTCTTACAGTAGAGACCTGCCCCCTAACCACTACACTACCCTAACGAGTTCAATACCGGTAATTGTTAACTCTTGCGCTAAATGAACATGTACACTAATGCTAACCATCAACCCCTACACACTAACCTAACATGTACACTACCTCTAACCATCAACCCCTACATACTAACCCAACATGTACACTACCGCTAACCATCAACCCCTACACACTAACCCAACATGTACACTACCGCTAACCATCAACCCCTACACACTAACCCAACATGTACACTACCGCTAACCATCAACCCCTACACACTAACCCAACATGTACACTACCGCTAACCATCAACCCCTACATACTAACCCAACATGTACACTACCGCTAACCATCAACTCCTACACACTAACCTAACATGTACACTACCGCTAACCATCAACCCCTACACACTAACCTAACATGTACACTACCTCTAACCATCATCCCCTACATACTAACCCAACATGTACACTACCGCTAACCATCAACCACTACACACTAACCCATCATGTACACTACCGCTAACCATCAACCCCTTCACACTAACCTAACATGTATACTACCACTAACCATCAACCCCTACACACTAACCTAACATGTACACTACCGCTAACCATCAACCCCTTCACACTAACCTAACA